AGATACAGAGATGAGTAAGACTGCTCTGAAAGAACTCCCTGGCCAACCTAGGGAACAAACATGTAAACAAATACACATGATTCATTTATTATGAATCATAATGGAGAAAAAACACTGGCATGGATCTAGGTAAGACCAGAAAGTAACACGTTTTTCATTTGTCTGAGCATGCAAGAATCTATGTGTGCAAACGAACCGCTTTCATTAAAAACTTTCACCTTGGGAAACCTTTTTTCAATACAATCTCCTTCCTAACTTCTCTTCTGGAACGGCACTGAATAAAGTCCCATACGCGTAAATGCCTCACTACCAACTGATAAAGATGGTACCACCCTGCTGGCCCTTTCACCGAATTTGGTAATCTAAAACTTTTTGCTCTTCCAGGAAAAAGAAAATCAAACTCCTTTTACAAATAATAAGCCTCACCACCTTTGAGGATATTGAAAAAAATATGTAAACCTTTGAATGCAATTAAAATCCAACAGCTCTGTCTGCACTGTCAGAATGCGAGGCTTACCAGGGTGACTACTCTGTGGGCAATTCTCACTTGAGTATCGTACAAGTTCTACTGGTTACGGGGTTGGGGGTGTCTGTCTAGTTGCTTCATTCTATAGATACAATTTTGATGCTTATAATTCTACTTTACGTATGTCTTCATCTTCCTCAACTAGAAACCCAATCCCTTGAGGTCAGACTAATTTCAATTCTGGATGTGGTAAATGCCTTCAAGACAGCGAGGTTCGTGGGCATCGGAGGGAGTTTGGGGTGCTCTACAATTAAGACCCCGTCAAAGTCTCTCATGAGGACATTGTGTGGAATGTTCTAAATGCTTTAAAAGGAAGCTCAGGTCAGTGTGAAAAGAGGCCCATCCTGTGCTGCAGGGTGGGAGCGGGCTGGGAGAGGTAAATGTAATACTTTCAATAATAAAGAATTAAAATTTTTTTTTTAATAAATGGAAAAAATAAATTAAAAAAGAAAAGAGGCTCATTGTATTTTCCTCGCTGCCTTAATGTCCAACTACTTTTAACCTGTCCTTAATAGTGAGATGTAGCCCTAGCTGGTTTGGCTCAGTGGATAGAGCGTCGGCCTACGGACTGAAGGGTCCCGGGTTCGATTCCAGCCAGGGGCACATGCCTGGGTTGCGGGGTCGTGCAGGAGGCAGCCAATCAATGATTCTCTCTCATTGTTGATGTTTCTGTCTCTCTCTTCCTCTCCCTTCCTCTCTAAAATCAATAAAATATATTTTTTAAAAAAATAGTGAGATGTAGTCTCCTCTATGTAACTAAGGCCTCAGGACACGGGTACTCTAGCTTCAGTGCCCAGTGACCTAACCCCTCTTCCCCGCACTCTGTTCCATAGCCAAACACTTGGGAGCTGCTCCAAGGTAAGCTTCCTGGGCACGAGTTTGTCTAGCCAAACAAGATGTCATTAACACCTGTAGCCCTACCTGCTTACCCTGATGAAGTTTATCCAGGTATAGGGCTTAAGTATGACTACTACCCAAGCAACCCCCTGTAGGCTTGCTTTGGGGTCAAATGTCTAACATGGAACTGGGAACATGGAGGGGATTAGGGAGGGGTGGAACAGAGGAAGGTTTCTGACTCATTCCAAACATTCTGCTGGTTTGTGGTGCTCTGGAGATTTTCAAGACTCCATGGGCTCAAATATTCATAAACGACACTCCCTTCAGCAAATTCCTCTTAAGTTCTCCAGACATTTAACTTCAGATCAGTGGCTCAGCGTGTGTGTGTGTATGTGTGTGTGGTGTTGATGGTGGTGATAAACGACCCTGGAAAGTAAATTGGAGTCACTGGAATGAAGATGGCTCAAATCAACGGCTGCTCCTTTTCCTCCAGGGACAAACACTGCAGTACCATATTCAGCAAGAGTGACTGCTGGACACTTACTTCAATAGCTCCTGGCATCTCCTGGAAATGAGTTCAGGCCCCTATGCAGACCCTCTCTCCAGACCCTGATTTAAAGATTGATGCCAAACCCAACCTCAAGAGAAGTTTACCTGGTTAGAAGCATCACTTTTTTTGCCAGACCCCAAGGTGTGAAAAGGTGAAGGAAGTCATGTTCTACTAATTTCTGAATACAGTAGCCCCCCCTTATCCAGGGGGGAGGGGGGCACACATTCCAAGATCTCTAGTGATGCCTGCAACCACGGATAGTACCAAACCCTAAGTGACTAACAGGCGGGTAGCATGTCCAGCGTGCATATGCTGGACAAAGGGATGATTCACTCCCCAGGTGGACAGAGATGGATGCCATAAAATGTCATCGTGATCAGAACGAGGTGCAATTTAAAACTTACTGTTTATTTCTGGACTTTTCCACTAAATCTTTTTGGACCATGGATAACTGAAACCAAGCTGAGTGAAACCATGGATAAGTAAGGGGCCATTGTGCTTAGTGTGGTATTTAAAGCAATCACTGGGAGCTAATTAGAAATGCAGAATCTCAGACCCTACCCCAGAACCGACAGAATCAGAATCTGCATTTAAATGAGGTCCCCAGGTTACTCAACTGCGCCTGAAAGACTGAAAAACAGCATGCAACAGAATGACCGTTTCTCATTAGTTCGAGCTTCTCTGCCCTGGCAAGGGGTTAGGGCAGTGGTTCTCAACCTTCCTAATGCCGTGACCCTTTAATACAGTTCCTCATGTTGTGGTGACCCCCAACCATAAAATTATTTTCGTTGCTACTGCATAACTGTCATTTTGCTACTGTTATGAATCGTAATGTAAATATCTGCTATGCAGGATGTATTTTCATTGTTACAAATTGAACATAATTAAAGCATAGTGATTAATCACAAAAACAATATGTAATTATATATGTGTTTTCCGATGGTCTTAGGCGACCCCTGGTTCGACCCCCAGGTCGAGAACCGCTGGGTTAGGGTAGAGTGTGTTTTGGAGGAAGATTTCACACCGTGGCTAACTGAGGCAGAGGCAAGCCAGGAGTCTCCAGGTGTGGACTGTGAGCTGTGCCTGCCCCACTGGACACCCCAGACAAGAAAGACTGGTCTGTAGGCTCCTGGCACTGCTAGCTTTCTCCTGGTTACACTCTGATGCAGAAGCCCCTTCCCCTCGCTCCCAACTAAAGACCCTCAAAGAAAGGAGGATTTGCTGTGATCTGCCAAAAAACACCCATTTCCCAGTCCAAAGTAGAAGTGGAAAGTTCCCAAAAAACAGTACTGCTGGGTATCGCTTCCAATCTGATCTTTCCCCATCTGGCAATAAAGGGTGCAGAAAAGGGCCTCCTGAGCCTTCAGGCCTGCCTGGGGGTCCACCCAGAACAGCAGACTCACACCCTCACTTGAGGAAATCCCCCAAACTGTCGGGAAAGGTCCTGAAAGACACATCAGGACAGAAAAAGCAGAGCAGCATGGGCTACATAAAGGCAGTGGAAAGTTCCCAAAAAACAGTACTGCTGGGTATCGCTTCCAATCTGATCTTTCCCCATCTGGCAATAAAGGGTGCAGAAAAGGGCCTCCTGAGCCTTCAGGATTTTTTACAGAGAGGAAGGGAGAGAGATAGTTAGAAACATTGATGAGTGAGAAACATTGATCAGCCGAAAGGTCCTGAAAGACACATCAGGACAGAAAAAGCAGAGCAGCATGGGCTACATAAAGGCCAGCCGGGTCTTCAGTCCGCAGGCCGACGCTCTATCCACTGAGCCAAACCGGCCAGGGCTGGGTTCATTTTTAAAAGGAGAGAGCAGTTTTCCCACTATGCGTGGCTGCTATTTCTTGCTCAGCTTGGAAAACGGTGTAACATTGGACAATGGACACGTGTTCTTAAGCTTTTGGGCCTCAGTGCCATGGTCTGCAGAAGGCTGCGGCATGGCTGGACAAGAACATCTAAGATCCCCTAACAATTCTAGCTTGGCATGTTTTGGATTAAGCAGCCCAAGACCTCGCTGGAGGAGGGACAGCTGCCTGAAAAAATAAGCATGTGGCCCCAAACGCTGGCAGATGCGGCTGCACCCCGCCCCACCCGCACCCTTGTCTCAGCGCAGCGCCAGGATCTGTGGCCGTTTTCTAGTAGTTTGGGCAGAAACAATAGAGGGGGGTGTAGGAGGAGGAAGGGCAAAAGGGGTGAGGGCAACACGAGGATGGGAGGGACGTGAGCCACGAGGAGGATTTCATTATGCAAACAAGCGGGCAGGTTTCATCAGCGCCTCCGCGGCGGGGCTCCGGGGTTGGGAGGGAATGCCTGCCTCCGGAGGGCAGCCCAAAGCTGGCACCAACCCGTGCCAACTCAGCTTCCTCTTCCTCATCCACTCTCAGGGAGGTCACACGGGTCCCCCCTCCCCCCGGAGGGAGGAACGTGTTTTTCTGCACAGTCCTGCCCGTACCCCGGGTCCCTCGGCGGGGTTCCCACACACGTAAGTGGGCAATCTGCCACAGGTGGCGGCGAGGCTGCTGGGGCCGGCGAGCACCCTCAGCCCAGACAGAACCTCCGTCAGAGGGTGCTGGCTCGACGCAAAACGGGGGGTGCCTCGGGAAGGAAAAAGGACTCTACACGAGGCATTTATCCCAACAGAAAACCTCCCACCTTCCCCCCCAAACCAACCAACCGCCAGGCCAGTCCTCTCCTTGATCCCTGGGCACCCCGATCCCAACGCCTAAGAACTGCCCCCAACACCCACCCACAGGGTGCAGCACGTCTCGGCAAGTGGCAATCCTGGAAGCGTGCCCATCTGCTTGGGTGGGGGGCGCTCAGCCATCTCCCAGAAGGAGGGAACTAATGGGGCAGTTTGCAGTCCCGGCTCCGGAGGACGCACTCAGAGAGCAGGCAACGGGACGCGGCCACCCGCTCGCTCCCGGTGGTCACCTCGCTGCCTCCCTGCAACCCCGCACCCGTGTTTCCCAGTCCCCGCGCCCCTGGGTCGGCTCGCCCGTCCAATGGGCGGTGGTCGCTCCCCAGCTCCGCTCGGCCCGTCCTCCTCCCGCCCGCACCCGCACCCGGACCCCGCGAGCCGGCGCCTACCTCCCGGGGTGGTGCTGAAGAGCGTGCCGCCGGGGGTGGTGCTGTAGTCCCCGGGGGGGAGCTGCACGCCGTCGCTGAGGACTACCCGGTGAGTGGCGGGGATGGCCCGGCTTGGGGTCTGGCTGCAGCTGCTGCCCCCGGACATGGTCTTCCGCGCGTAGTGCCAGCAGCCAGAACGTGGCCCTCCTGCCGCTGCAGCCTCGCCCGCCCCTCCCCGCCCCGCCCCGCCCCGGGCCGTCCCTTCCGCCTCTTTCTCTCCACCGCCCCTGGGATTTGTAGTCCGGCCGTGCCGCTGCCCCTCCCGCCTCCGAGCGGCTCCCGGCAGTCGGTTTCTCCGCGTCCCCAGATGGGAGGCCCTGCTGACCATACCTGCGCGCACGTGCCCCCCGAACAACCCCTTGATCCTGC